ACTTTTCCTGAACAAATTTCCTCCTCACGATTACCCTGAGTTGGCTTACTACTAACACATCATTATAATCCCACTTTATGCACAAGGAAACTGAGGCACAGAAGTTATGAAACGGGTCCAAAGTCATTACAGCTACTCCACAGTGCCGGAAATTGCACTCTCTACGTCTGTGTCTCTATTTCTTCTTTCCAGATGGGTTCATCTGCACGGTTTTTCTAGATTCCACATATATGCGCTAATATATGTATAATTATAAAATACAATACGCGTAATGCATTCATATACTCCCCTATTCCTTAATCGCTGCTCTCTTTCGCATTCCAAGGGCAAGCCTGGAGCACCCAGGCTTGAGAAGCAGTGAAGCCAAAAGCCCGCTCTGACTTTGACGAGGGAAGCCTTTTATTTGTTCCCTGCCCTAAGAGCTGGGATCCTTTCCTGGTGGCTCAGAGGGTGAAGCGTCTGCCTGCAACGCGGGAGACCGGTCAGGAAGATCCCCTGGAGAAGGAAATGGCACCCCACTCCAGTACTCTTGCCTGGAGAATCCCATGGACGGAGGAGCCTGGTGGGCTACAGTCCCTGGGGTCGCAAATAGTCGGACAGGACTGAGCGACTTCAATTTCTTTCTTTTCTAAGAGCTCTCCCGTGCTCCAGCCGTCTGATTTTTACCATGACAGAGGTGGCTCTGGTGTTCTTTATTAGGCAGGAGATGGGAAACTTGGAAAGCGTCAGCAACCTGCCCCAGACCTCTTTCCCTGGGAGTAGCCTGCGGGCCTTTATGTGTCTAAGGAGGGTTCCTCCCCTCCCCCAGGGCCGGCCTGGGTCAGGGAGCTCAGGTGGGATGTGAGGTGTGGGGTAGGGGGACAGATGGACCCCCGTGAGGCTCCACAGAGGCCCGAAGTGGGGTGGATGAGCCGAGGGCCAGAGGGAACTGCATTCTCCTTCCAGGGGGCTCCTGGCTGGCCTTGCGCCCCCCGCCCCAGCACCCAAAGGTGTCGCTAAGTGGTCACCCAGGCCCAGAAGCCTGGCTTGCTCCCCCCTACCAGGACCCCACCTGGAACTTTCTGTGGAGGCTTTGGGCCCCGAAAGTGAGTCAGGAAGCCAAGCCCTTCCCTGGCAGCTTTGGGACAAGAGCTTCTTCTCACAGCCCCATGAATCTGCCTTGGGACACGTTGTGCAGGGCAGTGCTATGTGCAGGCCCTGAGCAGAGTGGGTTGGGGAAGGAGCAAGTTCTCAGTCTTTTTTTTTAAGATTCTTGGACAATCTTTTAAAATTTATTTATTTTAATTGGAGGCTAATTACTTTACAATGCTGTAGTAGTTTTTGCCATACATTGACATGAATCAGCCATGGGCGTACATGTGTTCCCCATCCTGAATTTTGGACAGTTTTTAAAGTCTTTATGGTATTTGTTGCACTCTCACTTCTGTTTTAAGTTCTGTTTTTTTGACCCTGAGGCACATGGGATCTTCGCTCACCCACCAGGGATGGAAGTTGCACCCCATGCACGAGAAGAAGGCCACGTCTTAACCACTGGGCCCCCAGGGAGGTCCCCCAAGTTCCCATTCTTCCAGAACATTCCATCCACACAGCTGGGGTTCAGGGACCCCAGGGATGAAGAGTCAAGGACAGCCTGAGATAACAGCGGGGAGCTTCTCCCGCAGGCGTTGGTCAGGGTCAGCTTTTGGGACGAAGATGTCAGGTCTTCTGCCCTGCTGGTTAGCTTCTGGCCTTCTTGGGGGGAAAAAAAAATTAAAACAACGCAGGCACCGATGATTGGGGGGATTCCCACCAGAGCATCCTCATCGCCCGTGTCTGTGTCTCATGCAAAGCCTGGCCTGCAGGATCCGGGGGACTGAACCAAAGAGGGTTCCCCTCGCTTGTGGGACCTGCTGGAGGAGGGGGCACGTCCGGGCATCGTGGATTCTCTGCGTGTCTGTCACTATGGAGGATCAGCCTTCATGTCCCGGGGAACGTCAGTCTGGCTGCTCGATCCCTTGGACAGCCGGCTCCAGAGGCAGAGAGGCCATTTCTCTGGTCATTTTCTGCTTCTCAGACTTACTAAGAGGCAGTCATTCCTACTCACTGCGCTCACTCTGTCTGTTGAGTCTACGGTGTCACGAAATTTCTAATCCACAAATGACCCTTGCCGGCGCTTCTCCAAGACAGACTAGTGGATGGTGGGGAGGGGAAAGAGGAGGCAGACACTGCAAAAATGCAGGCAACTCCTGCCAATTCCCTTTCCTTTTAAACGTCACAAGTGGCTTCTCTTCTTTTTTTCTGGTTTTAGAGTTACAGGGAAAGATGCATGATTATGTAGGTTGATCAGATTCACTGAAGGATGAAACCCCAAATTTATCTGCTTATTGATGGAACAAAGACACTCTTTTTATTTAAGCTCAGCAAATGGTAGAAGGTGTGACTTTCAAGCACCTGTTCTTATCAACAGCAGCAGAAGGCTAACATTATTCTTCTGGTAAATGGGTTTTCACAACTCAAACGCAGGTCACCTTTCAGTGTCACCTGCTCAACCACCCACTCCTTTCCACCTCTCCCAAGACCTCAGATGGGAGACCAAGTAAAACCTCTTCCTGATCGGGGCTGCCACACTCCAGGTTGGCCTTGTGTTGGCTGGGGGTTGACTGCTGACCAGTCCTGTAACCTGAGAGTCTTAGGCAGTTAAGAGTGCTTTCCAAACCCTGTGAGCCTCGGAAGACTGTTGCACAGGTGGAAGAGGCAGTCTGAGAGCTGGTGCTAAGTCATCAAAGTGTCTGGGGCAGGTCAGTGGATTTGGGGACAATGCAAAGGCCATCAGGATGCTTGGCTTCCAAAAGCATGGCCCTTGGGCTGGCGTGGTCCCCCAACCCTCCTCCCTCCTATCTCGGTGCACCTGCCCTTCCCTCCCCCATCCTCCCCACCCCTCCCCTGGTCCCCACATGTCCTAGCTGGGTCCTGACCTTAGGCAGGAGCATTTGCCCTCCATTCAGGAGCCTGGCTTCTCAAATCATAGCTTCTGCCAGTCTGCTTCTGGAAACTTGGGTTTTCCTCTTATTTTCAGAGACATGGTTCCTTTCTATGATTTGGGCTGGGAGGCAAGGCTGAGGTCCTGCTCTTGGGGCCGCTGCCCCCGTGATGGGTGCCTTCCCAGTCTATCCTGGGGAGACCTGGCCTTGCTCACCCTCACACACCCCCTCTCCACCTAGGTCTGATGTTTCCTTCCTAAACTGCAGGCCTAACCTGTCGTGGCTGTCTCCCAGCCCAGCTGCCTGCTTCTAGAAGCATCTGCCTGCAGTGTGGGAGACCCAGGTTCAATCCCTAGGTTGGGAAGATCTCCTGGAAGAGGAAATGGCAACCCACTCCAGTATTCTTGCCTGGAAAATTCCATGGACTGAGGAGCCTGGTAGGCTACAGTCTGTGGGGTTGCAACAGAGTTGGACATGACTGAGCAACTTCCCGTTTTCCTCTCCTCCTGGGTCCCCGCTAGGACTCCCCAGGCCTGCACGGTGGTGGGCTGAGCTCTCTCTGGTCATCTGGACCCCCTCCCTCCCTGGCCCTGCTCCCAGGCTGGCCTTCTGTCCGGCCCTAACCCCCTGCCCGGCCCGCGGTCTAGGGCTCAGTTGTCCGAGCCCACATTCTCTGCCTGGTCTCCGGGGTGAAGACCCACAACCAGAGCCTCCCACCACTGCTGGGGCCCGGGACCCTTCCAGGAAGAACCACCAGTCCACCCTTGGGGGAAAGTGGTGTCCATTCTCTGCTTCTGTGAGATGCAATTTCCCAAGAGAAGCGGGGGGGGGGGGGGGGCGGGTCTCCTCTTTTCCTTTGAAGAACTGCATAAAGTGGGAATATTTGTACATAATGCTGTGCACCCAAGAAGACCTGCATTCTCCTGGGCAACTGCTCCTCCAGGGCTGGACTCAGGGTCCAGAGAAAACGCGCCCACTGGCTAGCCAGGCATATGGGTGTCACGGCGAGGTTCCCAGGGTGCACTGGTGTAACACATGGGCCAGCTGTATATGTTTGTATGCGGCAGGCCTTGTTGGTATACAGCAGGCCTTCCCTTAGTGTTGGCTGAATGGGGGAATGCCCGAGGGGCCCCAGAGCAAAAGGGGAGGAAAAAGGAAGAAGGGGAGCCAGGGCTCTTCCACGCCTGCCTTCCCCAACCCGCCATGAGAAGACGGCTAACTAGCCCCTGCTGGAGTTGCGTGACTGCCCTTTAGGAACTAAGCATGTCCCTAATTGAGGGTCCTGGGGGCAAATGCAGCGCTTTTAAGACAGAGGGTTGGAAGGACATTTGGTAAATGTCCCTCCATAACTGGGAGGCTTCAGTAACAGAAATGCCTTGCAGTTCTGGAGGATAAAAGTCTGAACTCAGGATGTCAGCAGGGTGGGTGTCTTCTGAGGCCCTTCTCTTTGGCTGGTAGATGTTGGTCTTCTTCCTCCATCCTCATGTGGTCTGCCCTCTCTGTGTATCCCTGTCCTATTTTCCCTTTTTATAGACATCAGTTATTTTGGATTAAGGGCCCCCGTACTCTAGGATGACCTCATCTTAATTAATGACATCTGTGTAGTTGCAATGACTCTGTGTCCAAATACAGTCATAGGCTGAGGTCGGGGGTTAGGACCTCAACATGTGAATCTCAGCCCGTAGCAGGGGGTCTTGGGGGCCGGGGAGGGGTGCGGTCTTTGACAGCCTGGGTGATGAGGCTGGGAAATTGTCTGCTGGGGACAGTTCTCATCCTCACACAGAGCTTGTCACCTTCTTTCCATCTCCTCTCTCTTTTTTGGCCACAGGGTGAGATGTGCAGGAGCTTCGTTCTCAGACCAGGGATTGAACATGTGCCCCCCTGCAGTGGAAGCAGGGGTCTTCACCAGTGCACCCGTATTTCAAGAGAATCTTGCTTCACTTGCAGGAGGATAAAATGTGCCCCAAGAGCTGAACTCACCCATCCTGATTCCATGGCTCTGGGTGGGACTCTGGTCCACCTTGAGGCTGGTCGCTGGGCTCACTCCTGTAGGGGCGGCTGGGAGGGGTGGGCGGCGGTGTGGCCCTGGTGTTCTGCCGCGGCTCCCGCCAAGTTCAGGTCGGAGAACGTGGAGGTGGGAGACGGGACGTGGCCCAGGTAACAGGTCAGAGTCTGCTCCAGGACCACGTCTGCATCCTGGAGAAGGAGAGAGTACTTTCCCCCGTGGAGGCGAGCTTCAGGCTGGGCCAGTGGTTGGAAGGCCTGGATTAAGAGAAGCTTGAGGGTGCTGGGCAGGGAGGCAAGAGGGAGGACAGGGCTGGGAGCGTTTAAGGATGTGAAGGGTCCAGGTTGGTGGAAGCCTGCAGGAGCATGTGTCCTGGGCTCCCATTAAGGAGGGCTGTGGCTGCGCCCGCCAAGGAGCCAGACGGTATTCCGGAGTCAGGCCAGGGCCATCAGGGGTCTTTGATGGGAGGCCCGACTGTGACACTGGGGCTGTCAGACTCCTAGTCTGCGTGAGGGACTCACAGAGGACCCGGGAAGATAAGGGGTGAGCCAGGGGTGGGCTGGAGGGGAGGGAAGGAGGCGGGGCAGGCCTGGGCCGGCCTGGGTGTGGGGACATCAGGAGGAGTGTCAAGGCACCTGCCTGTAGGCCGCGGGGCACTCTGCGGGAGAACCAGGTTATATAGATGGGGATAGAGGCGCTTAGAGGGAAGCGGGCATTTGCCATCTCCAGAGGCCTCAGGAGGTGTCACAGAGCCGTCGAACAAGGCAGGTCTGGTCTGGAAGCCAGGAGACACAGGTAGAAGATAGAGTTGCAGATTTGGGGGGGTGTTCCTATGCTAGAAGCTTCGCGGGGCAGAGGGGGCAGGGAAGACCCCCTGGTTAGTGGGAGGAGGACCCAAGGAGCAGAGGCGCGCTGGAAGAAGAACCTAAGCTCCCTGCGGCAGGGACCCCCCCGTCACTGCAGCTGCAGCCCTGGGCCCGGCAGTGTGCCTGGCACAGAATAGGCACCTTGTAAGTGCTTGTTTGGAGTTGGTGATGGACAGGGAGGCCTGGTGTGCTGCGATTCATGGGGTCGCAAAGAGTCGGACACGACTGAGCGACTGAACTGAGCTGAACTGAAGTGCTTGTTTAGTGCTGGAAGGAAAAGATCTGGGATAGAGTTTCTGCAGCCAAGGTTGAGAAGTGTTTCAGGAAGGGAAGTGGTCTACCTTGGAGCAGCAACTCTAGACCGTCTTGGATCATATCAGGTTCCTGCGGCGGCTGCACAGATGGCCACAAGCCACTGTGCCTTAACACAACAGAAGTTTATCCTCTCACGGTTACAGAGACCAGAAGTCTGAAATTCAGGAGTCTATAAGCCACAGTTCTTTTTTTTTACAAAAATTATTTATGTATTTGGCGGCATCAGGTCTTAGTTGCAGCATCTGGACCTTTCATTGCGGTGCAGGGATTCTCTATTTGTGGCGCAGGCTCAGTAGTTGTGATGCTCGGGCTTAGCTGCCCCACAGCATGTTGGGATCTTTGTTGCCTGACCGGGGATGGAACATGAGTCCCCTGCATGGCAAGGCAGATTCTTAAGCACTGGACCACCATGCTCCTCCTAAAGGCTTTAGGGAGGGGTCCTTCCTTGCCTCTTCCAGCTCTCTGTGGCCTCTGGACTCCTTGGCTTGTGGACGCATCACTTCACCCTTCACCTCCGTCTATACATGGCTTCTCCCCCGCGTCTCTCCTTGTGCCCTTTCCCTTTCTGACTCTCCCAGGGACACCTGTCATTGGACTTCGGGCTCGCCTCCATCCACGATGAGGATGATGTCATCTTGAGATCCTTACCTTGATAATGCCCACGTGTGCCGCGTGCTCTGTCGCTTCAGTCGTACCCGACTCTCCGCGACCCCATGGACTGTAGCCCGACAGGCTCCTCTGTCCATGGGATTCTCCAGGCAAGAATACTGGAGTGGGTTGCCATGGCCTCCTCCAGGGAATCTTCCTGACCCAGGGGTCGAACCCGAGTATCCTGTGTCTCCAGCATTGCAGGCAGATTCTTTACTGCTGAGCTACCTGGGAAGCCCAATTACATCTGCAAAGACCATTATTCAAAGCTAAGGTCATATTCTTAGGTTCCAGGTGGATGTGAATTTTGGTAGGGCCACCAGTCAACCCAGTATGACCAGAGACTGACATTTTTGAGAGTGAAAGAAGAGAAAATACGTATAAAGGTTAACGATTTGTTTCAGTCTTTGTTTAGAAGCAATGAAAGAGAGAAGAAAAGCTTGGCGATGTTGGAAGGGCAGGAGGTGACTGAGAAACAGTCCATGAAGGATTTTGGAGATAATGGGCAGGGCTATCTTTTGTTCAGTTAAGAGTCAAGGGCTTCTCCGGTGGCTCAGACGGTAAAGAATCAGCCTGTCATGCAGGAGACCCAGGTTCAGTTCCTGGGTCGGGATGATCCCCTGGAGAAGGAAATGGCTATTCACTCCACTATTCCTGCCTGAAAAAAATTCCATGAAGAGAGGAACCTGGCAGGCTATAGTCCACTGGGCCGCAAAGAGTCAGACACGACTGAGCAGGCACATTGGATTGAAAACCCACCTGAATGACCTTGCCTTAACATAACCAGTTACATCTGCAATGACTCAATTTCCAAATAACATCAAATTCACAGGCACCAGTGGCTGAAATTTCAACATGTCTTTTTGAGGGAATAACAATCCGTAGCAAACATATTCTACAGAGCTGGGGAAGTTCTTCAAGAGCTTGAAACAGCATCCCCAAGAATGCAAGAACCTTCATTGAGAGCACAGGGAATCTTGTATCTGATTGTATTTATACTTGGAGAATTCCTATGTGGCTTGAATTCCAGCGACAGATAGAGAGGCCAAAGCACCATGTTTTATCCAGGATTGAGTGTAGCCTTCGAGAGTGGAGAGACATTCAGGGCATCTTGGGAGAACAGCACCTGTCCTCAGCCCCCTGCTCCCTTCCCATTTCCCAGGACTCTCTTTGACCATCCCTCTAAATCACCACCCCCTCTAAACGCTGGTCGTGAGCCCAGGTCTCAGCACCCAGGGGTTGAGGGCAAGAGGCAGACGTGGGTTTTTTTTTTTTTCCTCCGAGCTTCATCCAACTCCTAGATTCTTGGCTTCTGATGGATCAGAAGTGAATGAACTGAAAAGCTTCTCACAGAGGCAGCTGGCCCCAAATTACCAACTGCCAGAAATGTCAGAAATACAGATGTCCAGACCAGCTGGCCAAAAGGTTAGTAGAGGAGATGATGCTGTTCTAGCCTAACCCCCTAGGAGGACCTTCCATCCCTAGATGCCTGGGAATCCTTCCAGGGCTGGATGGGAAAGCTGGGGTCACCCCATCTGCCCACAGGCTGTCCTGACCCCCAAGGCCACCGCTTGCAGTGAACCAGGCGCCCCCTGGTGGACATTGTTGACGACTCCCCTTAGGAAAGCACTTGCTGGCAATTCTAGGAATGGTTGGCTCCACCAGGATGCAACAGGCTCAGAATAAAAGAGTACCTTAAGATCATCCAAGACGTGCCTCTGTTTTCAAAGATAAGGAAATGGAGGTCAAGAAGAAAGGGGACATTCCCATGGTCATAGAGCTAATGAAGGGCAGAGCAGCTTAGAACCCATGGTTGTCTTAATAGAACACCGAGGATCATTTAACACCATGAAGAATTGGGTCCTTGGAACCTCCTCCTGTCTTTAACCGAAAATATCTTCAGTTGGGGTGGGATAACTTTGGGCTTCTCCCCAGATCCTTATGTGATTGACGATGGGTGAGATATTGGGTGTGTGCTAAGTCGCTTCAGTCGTGTCCGACTCTGCAACCCTATGGACCATAGCCCCCCAGGCTCCTCTGTCCATGGGATTCTCCAGGCGAGGATACTGGAGTAGATTGCCATGCCCTCCTCCAGGGGATCTTCCCGACCCAGGGATCAAACCCACACCGCCCATGTCTCCTGAATTGGCAGGTGGGTTCTTTACCATTAGCGCCCCCTGGGAAGCCCACTTACTAGGTGAAGTGAAGTGAAGTGAAAGTTACTCAGTGGTGTCTGACTCTTTGCGACCCCATGGACCGTAGCCCGCCAGGCTCCTCTGTCCAGGGGATTCTCCAGGCAAGAATCCTGGAGTGGGTTGCCATGCCCTCCTCCAGGGGATCTTCCCCCTCCCAGGGACTGGACCCTGGTCTCCCACATTGCAGGCAGATTCTTTACATCTGAGCCACCAGGGAAGCCCCTGGTTATTAGGTGGCGTTCTGGAAAACAGGGGAAACCACAATGTTCTAATCACCCAGGAGACTTCTGCTTTAGTGTGCTAGCTGCCTTCTGGAAATATTTTTTGTTTTGTCATTTTTTTAATAGTTTTTAATTGAAGGAAAGATTCTTTAATTTCTATAGTGGTTTACAGTTTTCAAAAGTTTCACACACCTGATCTCATATAATCCTGTAATAACCCTTTCTTCTCCTTACCCTTGTGTTGCTCCTCCCCCTCTCCCCCTTGCCACTGGTAACAACTCGCTTCTTCCCTGTATCTGTCAGTCTTTTCTTCGAGAAATTTTCATTTTCAATCAGTGACGATGTAGAGTTTCTAACTAGGAATTTTCAAAAAATGAGTATTTTGGGGAAGGATGAAGTAGGCATATTCTCTTATAGAAAATGTTTCTTGGGGTTTCCCTGGGGGTCCAGTGGTTAAGATTCTGCTTCCACTGCAGAAAGCGCAGGTTTGATCCCTGGTCAGGGAACTAGGATCTCACATGCCGCATGGCATGGTCAATAAAAAAAATAAATTAATTAATTTAAAAAAATGGAAATATTTCTTAGAGAAAGTACTGCAGCCTGTTCCATCATTTCCCAGAACTAGGTGGGGAAATTGCCATTTTCAAGAGACTTGTTGGTGTTTGGCCTTCAGCCACAAAATCAGAGTTCCTACATTCAGGTGACAGGCCTTCCTTCTCCCCGCATTTCTATGATTTGCAAATGTCTTAGAGACTTTTATTAGTGAGGACCACCCATTTTGCTGTGATGGTGTCTCCAGACCTGAAACTTCAGGGGATTCCTACAGACGTACACGGCTAAGCTTATTTATGGAGCTAGTAATATCTAGCGCTATGTATTTATGCTCCATCTCCTTCCAAAAAACCTTGGAAGCTGCTGTGCACAAACCAAATAACATTATTTTGTTTAGGTTTATATATGGCAATATTAATGCAACAACAACAAAACCCTGCAAGAGCTTGCAAAGGAGAAG